GTACTTTCTCGCTATTAGTGAAAAATAAATGTTTCCTAATCCTCTGTGGTTTGCCAAAAGCTCTGTTTGCTTTGTACTGTGATTCTATCCAATCTTTTGGCTCTAGCCATAAGTATACAAACTCGGTTCAAGGCAAACCCCACTACTGTTACAACACTACTGCTGAACACTACATCCCTCTAAACCCCTTCCCCTACTTACCAAAACACTTCACTACAATCCTGTACACAAACCAAGTTGACACCTGAAAGAGTTTTAACACCCCTCTAACGTCCCTCTTAGTCATCCTATCCCTTTCTAACACCCTCACCTAAACCACCAGTACTTCCTCTCCCCCGGCCTACCTCCCATTCACACGTGTGGCGCCGCATTCTGAAATGCTCACTATCATTGCAATGGGAGCGTACTGGTGCATGCCATGACTGGTTACCACCTTGTGGTTATGGACTGGTGGTTACCGCAACCAGGCCTACCCCCCCTCGCACGTGTGACACGGCACATGCCCGGTGTCATCGCAATGCGAGCAGATCCTCATACCATAGCTGGTTACCACCTTGTGGTTACCACCGCACTGGCGGCACGTGACCATCTTGCTGCCCCCGCAGGTCCCACAGCCCCCCTTCCCTCCATCGTCCGTCGTGGGCAGCCCCTGCACGAGCTCTGCGAGGAAATAATCGTCGTACATCTGGAGAATGGTGTCCGCGTCGCCGATGTAACGCCCACATATGAAGAGGCGGGGGACAGTGGCCGCTGCTGCTGCTGCTGCTGCTGCTGCTGCTGACGCTGCTGCTGCTGCTCCTGCCGGGGAGGACATAAGCGTCTTGAGCTCCTGGCGGTACGAGACGCGCATTGATATGTCCCGTTCTTCATACACCACTCGTAAAGCCTGGGGTCGGAAGGAGTCATGGGACCAAGGAGGGGAAGGAAGGACTTCGAAAAATCCCAGTACAGGCATTCATAAAACTGTAAGGAAATAAGGTACTTTGAACAGAAGGCACTCGTACCTGCAGGACGTTCTTCACTTTGACGCAGTCCTCGAAAGTTTTCCTCACTGCCCGGAGTGTCGTAGAATACACCACCACTGTGTCTTGCCCTCCCGGCGGGCAGCGTTTGTCGAAACTTTCTAGCAGCGGTGACCGGGGAGGAGGGGGAGGGGGTCCAGGGGGGACCACCTCCTTCACCTTTGCTGCTGTATCTTCCTCCTCCTTTGCCCCTGCCTCCTCCCCTTTTGCTGCTGCATCGCACCCTTCTCCTCCAGCTGCTGCTGCGGCTTCTGATGCCGACTTGTCTGCTGCAGCGCTTGCCCCTTGCCCCTCTGATCCAGCATCAGGCTTGGCCCCTCCAGCTTCGGCAGCATTGGCAGAGGCTACCACAGCAGCCACCCACTTTCCGCGCACCCCTCCTGCAGCGTCGGCAGCAGCAGCAGCGTCAGCAGAGGCAGCGGCTTCCAGCTGAGCGGCCAGTCTGGCCACGAGCCCTTGCTTGATCACCCTCCTCTCCTCCTCCACTGCCTCGCCCCTTGCCGCCTCTGCTGCTGGTGCTGCTGGTGCTGCTGGTGCTGCTGGTGCTGCTGGTGCTGCTGCAGTCGAAGCAGGAGCAGGCGCAGTGGCAGCAACAGTAGGAGCAGTCGTGGGAGGGGGAAGGGAAAAAACGGAAGGAGCAGCAGGAGGAGCAGGCGGAGCGTTAGCAGCAGCAGGAGCAGCAGCGAGACAAGTAGAGGCATCAACGGCACCAGCAGTTCCAGATGTGAGAGTTTCTGGTGCCATCTTCCCTGCACGGGCTGCTGCTATTTCTGCTGCTTCTCCTGTCATTGCTCGCACTGTGTCTGGTGGTGCTTGCACTGCTGATACTGGCTGAGATGCATTTACTTGCACGTGCTCTGCTGCTGCTGCTGCTGATCGCTTTGCTGCTGATTGCACCAGTGCTGCTGCTGGTGACTCCACTTCAAGTATTTCAGCTGCCCACTCTGCCGCCATAAATGCTTCTGTTGCTGCAGCTGGTGCTGCTGGTGCTTTCGTTGCTGCTACCGCTGGTGCAACTGCTGCTGCTGTTCCTGCCGTTGCTGCTACTGCTGGTGCTGCCGTTGCTGCCACTCCTCCTCCTGCCACTGCTCCCGCCGCTCCTGGTGCCAATACTGCTGCCGCTGGAGCTGGTGCTCCTGCAACAGCAACCACAGTGGCAAAATGGCCACTGGCAGCATGGGGACTGTCAACCCTGGGAGAGACAACCCTGCCTGGTTCAACCCCCCCTGAGCCCACCCTGCTAGCCCTGCCACTGTCCACCCGCCCACTATCAACCCTGCCCCCATCAAAGCTGCGTCTTGCAGCACTCGGGTTCTGCACGCCTCGCAGCCTGGGGCTGTCCTTGCCAGCGTAGTAGCTGCCACGGCTGGGACTTGCACCCCGCGGCTGCAACCCTGCAAGCTGCGGACTGGCCCTGCCTGCCGCCCTGCCTGCTGCCATGGGGCTCACTCTGCCGCCCACCAGAGCAGCATGCATGGGACTCACCCTACCGCCCACCATGGCAGCTTGCATAGGACTCACTCGCCTGCCCACCAGAGCAGCGTGCATGGGGCTCGCCTGGGGGGTGTGCCTCTGCCAGTCAGCAGCACTGTGCCGCTCTAGAGCCGCCTCCATGGCGTCCAGTAGATCCGGGTCAAACAGAAAAGCACCCTCATCCTCCTCATCCTCCTCATCCTGCTCTCCCTCCCCCTCCTCCTGCTCTTCCTCCTGCTCCCCCTCCTTCTCCTCCGCCTCCTCCTCTCTCCTCTCTGTTTCCTCTTCTTCCCCTTTCTCACCCTGTTCTTGCTTTCCCGCCTTCCTGGCAGGTTCCCCTCCCAGTCCTCTGTCTGCTGCAGTACCTGCTGAGCTGGCATGCATCTCATCCCTGTCCTTCACTCCACTGGCAGCATTCTCGCCCGCAGCTGCTGCGTTGGCATCTGTGCCTGCTGCGTTGGCACCTGCAGCTGCTGCGTTGGACCCTGTGGCTGCTGTGGCCTTGTCTGTTGCCGCTACTCCGTTTCCAGTACTCATAGCACGCCCAGTGCTTGGCGCTGCGCCATCTGCACGTGGCACTGTTATCGTCCCTCCAGTCACCCCCACGCCGTCCCCTTTAGGCTTTTGAGTCGGCACAGAAGTCGCCTCCCCAGTCACACCCACGCCATCCCCTTTGACCACCTTCTTCTTTTTGGTCTTCTTCGGCGCCGCCTTCTCACCTTCCTTCGCCCCCTTCTTCTTTTTCTTCTTCTTCTTTCCTGGCCCCCCTCCCTGCCCTGCTACTGCTACCACCCCAGCAGCCCCCTCCCCTCTGCCCCCCTCTCCTCCTCCACCACCCCCACCATCCCCATCCCCGTTCCAGTCCCCATCTGCCCCCATGACCTCAGAGGGAAGGTTCAGCAGCAGCTGCTCCAGCGTCTGCTGGTACTCCCTCTCCCTCCGAAGGTCCTCCTCGAAGCTCGCCAGAACATCCGGATCGAAAATGAACTCCTCTTCACCGTCTTGCACCCCGTCCGCCGCGTCAGCCCAGCCGCCCCCATCCACCCCGTTAGCACCACCTGAGACTTCATTTCCTACATCCACGTCAGCATCGTCTCCCTGCTTTTCCGAGCCGCCTTCCCTCCCTGCCCCTTCCGTCGCTGCTTCCCCCCTTGGTGAAGCGATCGCCGGCAAGCTGTCCCCAACAACAGGCGCAGCAGCTGCTCCCACAACTGCTCCTTCGGCTTCGTCAGAATTTCCCAGCAAACTGCCGTCTCTCTCCTCCCCCGCATCGCCTGGCGCGGATTGCGTCGGGTCTGCAACCCCACCTGATAAGCACTCGCAGCTGCCTGCTCCTCCTTTTGGCTGCTGCCTGCAGCCTCTGCCGCTGCTGGATCCCGCTTCCTCGGTTTCCCGTGAATGCTCACAGTCTTGGCTCGCTCCTTTCTTCTGGACTGCCCACGCCGCTCTTTCCTCGACGAAGCAGGGCTATCGCCGTCGCGGTCATTGTCCCGACTCTGGAGCTCGGGCTTGGACTGAATACATCCCATAGGGAAAGAAAAGAGAGATCGCGAGTACGCCGAGCGTGACGCGTCAGCGTACAGATCTTAAGAGACGACTCTGAGCTTGTGGTAGTCGGGCTTGGACTGAATGCATCCCATAGGGCGAGAATGATAGATCGCGGGTACCCTTCGCGTGAGGCGCCAGCCTATTAGACGTTTGAGCGGGACGCGTCGGCGACAGAGCTTCTGAACTCGAATTTTGAGACGTCTCAACTCGAAACCCAGCCAACAAATTTCATGAAGTGTCCCACAACTTGTCGAGCTCGGGCTTGGACGGAATGCATCCCATATGGGACACGTGCGTGAGGCGTCGGCGTCGGAATCTCCTGAGTCTGACACGTCAGCTACAGACCTTCTGATGGCTCGACACGCAGCCTACAGCTTGCGGAACTCGGACTTGGACGGAATGCATCCATGGACGAGAAAAGTTCGCGAGCGGTGCGGTGGGCGAGTATAGCGTCGGAGACTAACACAGGAATGTAAACCTAGGCGGGTGGTTCTAAACTGACACCATGAGCAAGAGCTTTGGTTCTGAATTGTGTGTGTTGCGTTATTCGTTCTGATTGGCGGCCAGTGCTGCCCAATCTCCAGGTCGACCCGATCACCACAAATATTCCCGAGGGAAACTCGCGGCAATGCCGAGGCGGGGAAGGAGAGAGGTCGGGGAGGGAAACAATCTAGGTGACACTCACTGACAGACCCTAGACGTGACAGCCTGCTGGTAACCATTTAGGCGACACAAAATCAACAGCTTCGTGGCCTCTCGCGAGTGAAAACTCAGCCGTTGCCGAAAGCACCTTTGCGACACCAAGGAAGGCGCAAAAGTGCAGTGACCCTCTTCGCGAATGTTACTCGACGAACTGATGAGGGCTGTTCTGTTTCACTCGTCACGAACACGTTTCGTTCAGTCTCAGCCAGCTCCACAGAATCACAGCCTGATTTTGAGTGTTAGCTGGTGCAGACCTTGGGATTGCACTCACTGAAGATCCATCCATGGTTGTCAGGATAACTCCCTAGCCTTTGAAGCTCCTTGCCTCATGAGAACCCTATCAGATTTGGAAGTTGCTGGCCGAGAAACAAGCATAGTGTGGTAAGCTCAGCTTAGGCTAAGGTCCTCACTTCTCGAGCTTGATTTATTTCCGTCAGGGAATAAACGGCCTGCTTCAAACACCAGCAACCGAGCGGTTTCTCAGACGTTTCTGCCAGCCACATGCTAGTACCAGACCGACAGGACGCAGAGCAGATCACAGCGAGATGACTCTTCACGCGGTTGACGAGTTCACCCTCCTGCAGCGACCGCGGAAGCTGCCAGGCAGAGGACATTTCAACGACCAATAATCCCAATGACACGATTAAGCAGGAGAAACCACGGGAGTGGCCACTGCCAAACTTCGCAAACGAGACGCGGAAAATGCTGGTGGATCGACTCCCAGCAAGACGAGCCGTAAGCGAGGCAGATGCTCGGACAAGGCACCGAGCAACGGCGACGAGTCTCATTGTGAGGCTAAGCCAACTAGCCGACGGAGAGGGAAGGAAAGGTCGATGGGAACGGATCGAGTCACCCTGATGGTGCTGCTGGCTCAGCCGCCTCGCAGGGAGCGTTTGGCATTGTTAGTAGCAGCAATGAGCGAAACGACCCGGCGTCTCTGGCAACAGCAAGGAGAAATGCGACGATGGCAACAGCGAGGGACGCCAGACCAGCGGCATCCCCGCAGCTGCTGCTGACGGAGGCTCAGCGCGCTGCTGCTTTCCACGATCCCAGCGTCCCGCTGCTCGTCGTCGCTGCTGCTGTGAGTGAGATATACATAACAGTATAGTACAGACGCATTGCTTGGTGAGACCGCACTCTGTGTTGCTCGTGATCGTTTGCTCAAGAAGCCACATGCCTTGTGGAATCGCATTACTTTATCGTCGTCCATGTCTTTCTGCAATTATTCCAATAGGTCAGCTGTTTCGTGTGTGCTTTGATACTGTTTCGCGTGTGCCTGGCTATTGTTTCGCGTGTGCCTGGCTATTGTTTTGCGTGTGCCGTGATTCTCTGTGTGCGCTGATCGCCCTGCAGGGATCCGGGAAGACGTCAGTCATCTGCCACAGGATCATCCACCTCATTTCCCAGGTAACTTATTGCTCATTCGTTGTCCTCTTTTCCCGTGTAACTCTACTGGGGAATTCATAACTGTTTAGAGCCTTTCCTCCTGTAGTTTCTAGCAATTTACTCCACCCGTCGTTTTGACTGGCTTCCTCTCGCATCACCATTTCTTCAGTCTCAAATTTCAACCCCTAGAATGTAATTTCCAATCCTTCTTTACGTGGGAATTGAGGTTTCCCCCCCCTTCCTGTCTCTTATCTCTGTAGGGTGTTCCTCCCAACGAGATCTTAGCAGTCACAGTAAGTTTCACCAGCCTACTTACTCCATAACTATGGGCTGTTGTTCTTCTATGATAAGCACATCCCTCCATGTGCCAGTTGCTGACTAGTCTCTCCGTTCCTTCCCCAACTTACATCCCCCTATTCTCTACTTGCCACCTGTCCCTCTCTATGTGGCCCCACCCCCCCCCCCACCCTTTTTCCACCTTCCTGCAACCCACATCGTTCCTCGCGTTCCTTTGCTGCTTGCCTTCATTGCAGTTCACGAGAAGAGCAGGCCAGAGCCTACGGCAGCGACTGCACCAGCTAGCAGGAGCGATGGCAGCGCAGCAGCTAGACAAGGCAGCAAGTGGCGCGGGATTAGCTGCAGCAGCAGCGCCAGGAGAACCAGCAGCAGCACCAGCTATGCAAACGGTGTCAGCAGCAGCGATAGCAGACGTGCGCGTTTCCACCTTCCACTCCTTCTGCCTGCAGACCCTCAGGCAGTTCGCGCACCTGGCTGGACTGCCAAAGGATTTCACCGTCTTCCCACCCAAGATGCAGGTCAGGGCTTAGTTCCTACCAGCCCCTACACCCTGCTTTCTCATCCCCTCTTGACTTTCCGAGATTCAGTTTCCAGTCGTCCTTTTTGGTCAACCTTATTCAATTCACTCCATGCATCCTCGTTTCGTAAAGTCTCGCTTTATTGTGAAGATACAGTCTTCCACTCTCACAGTCCGCCAGTTTGGCCCGTCCTGTCTGCTGCATGCCTGCATGTGTGTTCTCATCTCAGGGGCCTAATAACCCTCCTGCTCCGCTCTTGTTCCACCCTCCCTGAATCATGCACACAGACGCTGACGCTGATGGATGGAGCTGCTGCAGGAGTGGGCGGAGAGGAAGGGTGCGTGCAGAGGTACCAGGTGGGCGGACGCTAAGCTTCTAGGCTCCTCAAAATGATTTTGTTCCACGATTCCACGGTCCACCCTCCCTGAAACATGTTCGCAGGCAGAGGCGCTGATGGAGCTGCTGCAGGAGTGGGCGGAAAGGAAAGCTGCAGAGGTGCCGAGACACTACGTTTCTAGCCTCCTCAATACAATCTCCTTTTTATCTTCTACAATCTTTTTCGACATGCTTGCAGGCAGAGGCGCTGATGGAGCTGCTGCAGGAGTGGGCGGAGAGGAAAGCTGCAGAGGCAGGGGAGAGGGAAGAGCACGATGGGAACAGTCGCGTGGGCATGCCAACAGGAAAGAAAGTACGCCCTGCCGCTTATCTCACTCTCCTGAATCGCCCTGTTTGTCAACGTGCTTTTTTCTGCCTATCTTCGTTTCTGCAAGCCCCTATGTTGCCTGTGCTCGGAACTCCCTGAATTTCTTGCATTTTTGGCGCATTCCATTGCTTTTTCGCCCTTTGTTCATTTGACTCGATGTCTCCAACTCGCTACGTCCCGCCCACCCACCACCGCACCCCACTCCGTCCCGCCTCACTTCACCTCGCTGAACCGCATGCCCACCAGCTGCACTTCATCATCCGTCGCTTCCTGCAAGAGTTTGGTCAGATCGAAGTCGAGAACGCAGAAGCACAAGTGCTTGAAGGCTCTCAAAAACCGCACCAGTCAGCTGCAACACTAGCACCAGTACCAGCTGCTGCTGCTGCTGCTGCTGCTGCTGCCTGCTGCTGCTGCTCCTGCAGCAGGCGGCCATACTGCTGCTACGGATCATGGTCACGTGCACAGGAGGAGGAGGCGGATATCATTTGGAGGAGATGGAGGAGGAGGGGAGGGCGACGAGGAGGGCGGGCTGTTTGCGTGGCTGTGGGAGCAGTACCGGCGGCGCCTGGTGCTCAACAAGGCCATCGACTTCTCGCAGTTCGCCCCGTGAGTTCTCTCGGGGACAAGCTCTAATCGGCGCATGTCCCACTGCAACC